AAGACACAGGCACATTTAAGAAGTAGGATAGCGGGTAATTAGTACCTAAATATTATATTTTGTTAATCGATTTAATTATATTATAATCATAAATGATTATATATGTATATTAAATTTTTTTTTGTGTGTGCATAATTTGTGAAGGATAATAGATATAATTTATATTTGTTATAGCAAAAGAGGGAAAAGAAACAAAAGATGTCGGGCTCAAGCACCCACAAAAATTATAATATAATTAAATATATATATATATATAATTTTCAGTTCAACATTTTAAAAAAAATAAAATTTATTTCGACTTTTTAAAAGTGGATTCAAATTTTAAAAATACTAATTTTGAAACTATTTTCCATCAGTGGAAAGTTCACGGATAAAAGAAATGAAAAGTTCATCTGAAATTTTTTTCAACTCTTGCATATGATTTTGTCATTGTGTTCTCATTTATTTTTATCGTAAACAAAACGAGTGAAATTTTTTAAAGTCACCCATTATTTCTCATTTTGGCTCAAAACAATTTTTGACAACTACACGTGAGTTGTTTTGGTAATTTTTTTTTGAGGTAATATTTTCTATCAGATTAATCATTTAATATATATTTATCAGAGTGCGTAGCGGATAGCTTATACATATGACAAATTTCGAGGACGAAATTTTAAAAGGAGGGAAGATTGTAACAATCCAGATTTTTAATTATTCTGTAAAATTTATACTAATATTATTTAATCACAGTTAGAAAAATATATGATTTATTTTGTATTATTATGTGTAATTTTATTAAATAATATAATTATTAAAAATTTAGGGGTCAAAGTATAATAATAATAATAATATTAATAACAATAATAATAATAATAATAATAATAATAATAATAATGAGAATGATAGTAAAATAAGTAATTAATTTACTGTTGGTATATGATAGAGTGTAATTTAATTAAGAATTAATTTATTTATATAGTTATATTAAAATATTGGGCTAAAGTGTAATTATCTTAAATATCTATTAAAGATAAGAATGAATCTTTATAATTGATTATCGAATTTGTTGGAAGATTCGAGCCACGTATGCACTCCCTCCCTGGAAAAAGAAAGAAGAAAGGAAAAAGAAAAGAAAGAAAGAGAGAAAGAAAGAAAGGAAATGAAGGAAAAAATAATGAAAGCCGAAAGAATTTTTGATAGTGGAAAAAAAGAGTAAAGTATTAAAGTTAAGATGAGTTATATTATATCTTGAGTCACCTTAATATATTTTACGTATATTTTGACTTATCATATTTAGTTTATACAAGTTATGTTTTATAAACTATTATAAATTGTCTTAATATTTCGATTACGTGGATTATTTTCTGACCCTTATTTGCTTAAAGTGAAACATATGGATATATTTATTTATATTTTAAAGAATATTTGACTATAATCTTATAAATAATTATGTTTTGTAAGTACCACCACCGGAGTCCCACGCCTTGGGGGACTTAAATAACCATTGGCCTCTGTTTGACCACCTTGTGGTCCTCTTTGTTATGGATCCATTGACCTCTGTTCTATGCAGAACAAAGTGTTGTACAGAGATAAGTGCTACACTATTATCAGAGCCACCTCTATAATCCGTACGAGCCACCTCTTGAGTCCGTACCTCTGTTTTGACTGTCACTCTTGTGACCTTTGTTCTGTTCTGTTCTGTTCGACACCGTGGTTACAGTTATTTATTTACATAATTTCTATATTTCAGTTTCTGCCACTTAAATGATTTATTTACCAAACTGAGTTATGTTTTGGCCTAACTAACTATCCATGGTTATTTCGTGTTCCTTATACTCTTGGTATAATATTTCTTACTCTGTCATATGCTTATAGCACCGTTTGGGAAGTGGGTTGGCTTTTTGGCTTTTTGGCTATTTTAGCCTGGGCTATTTTAGCCTGGTTTGGGAAGGGTTTTTTGGCTTTTTGGCTTTTTTGGCTTTTTTTGTGAGAGAGGATTGTAATGATTATGGGTTGGATTTGATGTTTTGTTTTTTATGGCTAAAATAGCCTATTTTGTTTTTTGTGGCTATTTTAGCCAAAAAAGCCTGGGCTTTTTCTTGCCAAACGGAGGCTATATCAATTTTCAAGAAACAGTGCAATTCAGAAATAACTTTTAGAAAGTCTTAGATGCGAGGCTACGGAATAGACACACACAACACTTTTATGATAATTTTTATATGTAAATATCGGTCTTTTTGGTCAATACATTTTGTAATAAAAATAGAAGCTCCGATAATTATTTTGGTACCCTCATTTAAATATTACTTCCACTCGCGTTTATTGATTTGTTTAAGAATTGGCCGGAGGTAACCTCAGTTACTGGCCATCACAATGCTTAACCCTTGGGTACGGGGAGCGGGTCGTGACAATATCAATTATCATAATTATACTTTTTGTGTTATTAAGAAATTTAAAAAAAATGATAAAATAAGAAATTCATATTATTTTATTTCTTAATTTTTGAAAATGAACTAATATTTTGGAATAATAAAAAAATGAAATAAGAGACTAATATTTTGAAACGAAAAGCGTAAGTTTTTTAGACTTTGGTTGGTCAACATGATGATACGGACTGAACTTATTTAAAAAATTAAAATCACATCTTGCCTATAAGTCTAAATCTTATAAATTAAAAATTAAATCGAATCGGGTTATACATTTTTCATTCACATATTTTAATATTTTTATTAGTTTTTTAATTTTATTTCCCAACATAATTCAAGTATTTTATTTTATTTTTTAAAATTTTTACATCTCATATAAGAAAAACAAATCAAGTAACGTATAATACGTACGAGTGGAGAAAAACATAAAATGAAAAATTAAAGCTTTAAACACGAGAAAAATAAATAAAATCTTTAAATATGAAGACTTTAAACTTTTTTTATATGGAGCAATGTTGATCCATTTAGTTTTAAAAGTTTTCTTATGAACCAATTAATCTTTTTTGTTTTGAAAAGTTGTATTCATTTAATTTGATATCATTTGAGTTTAAGTGATGCCGTTTTATGATTCATTTTTTTAATTTTGTGATTTGTTTTTGGGATGTGAATAGAAATGCGAGGTATGAAAAATTCTTTTTGGAAGGATTGGTGGCTGAAGTATTGGTTGTTGAGCATGAAAATTTATATTTATATTAGTATGATTTTTTGGTGTTACATTAAATTTTTACGTTTGAAAAAAATAAACTAAATAGTTTTTATGTATTACATTGATTGGAGTATTACGTTTGGAAAAATATACTAAGCAGTTTTTTTTAGAATGTTACGTTGTTATGTTTGAGAAAAGCACGCTAAGAATTTTTTAGTATATTACATTGAAATGTTATGTTTGGAAAAAATAAATTAAAGAGTTTTTGTGTGTTACATTGATTGCAGTGTTATGTTTGGCAAAAATATACTAAAGTTTTTATTTTCATTTTTATTGTTACGCTGTTACGTTTGAGAAAAGTGTATTAATTTTTTTTTTTGTGTTATATGGTGTTACAATTGGGAAAGTACACTAAAAAAGTCCAAAAGTCAACGCATAACATGCATGTTTATATTTGTGAAAGTCAACACATTTGGGAAAGTACTCCTAAGTAATTTTTGTATATTATATTGATTGGAGTATTATATTTGGAAAAAATACAGTAAGAAATTTTTATGAAGGGTTACATTTAGTAATTTTAACATTATGAGAAAACTAACATTTATCTATCAACACATAACATGCATGTTTATACTTTGCATTTTATGTAATTCACACTAAAATGGGACATTCAAGTCCGTAAGAAAAAGGAAGGACCAAACACTTCATAAAATCAGTATTTGAGATTTATTGGTATTTTACTTTAAAAAAAAAAAATCAAATAAAACATTAGACTTATCCATACAGTCTCTTACGGATCAAGTTTGTGGGTGAGCTCAAATTACAAACCTTTGTCTAAATTTTAAATATTTTTTATGGATTAAGACGGACTGGATGCTCAAGTAGCCTAGGATGGATGGGGCAAGTTAGGTAATCTCGAGTTTTTTTTGTCCACTTGGGGACTTCTAAATTTTATCATATTGGTTAATGTGTTTAGGTTGCATTTAGACCTCGTTTGACAAGTAACTTTTTTAGCTAAAAGTAATTAAAAAAGTCAAAAAATCAACAACTTATAACAAAAAGTCAAAGATTTTATTTTCTTTCTACTTTTTGCACATCTTATCGTAAAAAGTCAAAAAGTCATCCCAAATATATTAGTTTTTTTTACATCATATTTTAGCAAAAAAATCAAAAGTTACTAAAAAAACATGTTCCCAAACGAGGCCAGTGTCATTTTTGTACCCACACTTAGGGTCTTTTGGGAAGCTACAAAAAAAAGAAAAAGGTCAACTTTAATTTTTCACTTATTTTAGGTCATATTATTTCTCACATTTTTTTTTTCTCATAAAAAGATAAAAAAGTTAAAAAAAATTAATTTTTTACTAAACGTTCAAAACACCACTTAGGGTTGCAAATAAATAGTGTCGTTCGTAAACAAACTTGAATTCAGCTCGGTAAGAGCTCGTTCGAATTTCGTTGGTTAATTTTTTTCGTTAAATTTTTAATAAACAAGTCCAAATATTCTAAAACTTGGTTTGTAAACTTGGCTTATTAACTGGCTCATTTAATATTTATTATTTATATATTAAACAATGTAAAATTATGTATTAAGATAAATATGTTATTTATATATTTAGAAAATATAAATGTAAATAATAGTTAGGGGTGGGCGCAGGGTTATCCGACCCACCCAACCCGCCCTACCCTACCCGAATCGCAGACCTTTGGGCGGTTTCGCAAGCACGTTAGGGTCGGATGACGTTTGGATTATGGCTGAATTTCGGGTTGCGGGCGGGTTGTGGGTTTGAACCGAACTCGCCCAACTTGCCCGCTTAAACAGATTTTTTTTTTTTAATATGTAAAATTTGGACCGTTGATCTTCATCTTTAGTATAACAAACAAAAAAACCCTAATCTCTCACAATCAAACACATTACATTTGCGCAGCTGGAGAGAGTTTTTCTCTCATCTCATCTCATCTCATGTCAATTTCTCTCTCTCTCTCTCTCTCGTTTTTTATCGCACTGATCGCAACTCTGCTTTCAACTTTGTTTTCTCATCGCTGATCGACCTCTGGTTTGTTATCGCACCACCAATCGACTTCTGCTTTCTCATCACCGATTGATCTTTGATTTCTTATCGCAACTCTGTGCGTAGCTTCACTTCGAATCTCACTCTCTCGTGCTTCGCAAGATCGACTCTGCTTGGAACTCACAGGTAAGACTCTGTGCTCTTTAGATCTGTCTGTCTGTCTGTCTGTCTCCCCGGTCTCTTTTTATTTTTTTATTTTTTTTTTTTATGCAATCAGATGTGTAAGCCATAGATCTGTGTTAAATTTGTGTTAAATCAGATGTTTTTATGCAATGAGATGTGTATGCAATCAGATGTTTTTTTATTTGTTTATTTGTTAAATCTGTTAAATCGATGTTAATCTGTGTTAGATCTGTTAAATCTATGTTAATCTGTGTTAAGGCAGCATGTACTCTGAAACTGCTACCATATCCCACTATAAATTAAAGATGCTCTTTGTTAGGTTCCTGCTTGCAGAAGAAAGAAGAAGAACAATCTTAAGAAGTGAAAATAGCATACCCTGACATTTTTCTTCTTTTTCAAAATCCTTTATCTCAAAAAAAAAAAAAAAAAAAAAAAAAAAAAAAAAAAAGAAGGTACAAGGCAGTAAAGCAAATCAGCCATGAAGCAAAAAAATTTAAGAACTCAGATCCCACACATCAAAAAACACACATAAAATGAAACTTTCAGAAGCCAATATTAATTTTCGAAACATGAAACTACATTTGAAGATGTTTCAGGTACAATTACAAAAACAAATAAACATATTTCCATTGACCAAGCCATTATCACCAACTCCCAAAGACAAGACTTGTTGATCTTTAGGTATATTTTCAAGTTCAACCTATAATGTTGATGCTAATACTATAATTGAACTCTAATCCATTTGCTCATTGGTATATTTTTCATTACTTTATTCTTTGATACTTTTTTTTGTCAAAGGAATTATGAAGATTGAAGATTAATTTTTTTATTTTTCAGTTTGTTTTTGTATAGGGTTCATCAATCAAATGCATGGAATTAGAACTTGGATGTGATTTATGATGATGGAGTTTTGAGATATTGTGTTGGAAGTGTTTTTCTTTTATTTGACAATAATTTTCTTTTATTTTTTTTTCTTGCATTTTTGATGAATGTAATAGTTAATGAAGTTTGAATGATTTTATTTTAATTTTGGATGAATGTAATAGTTAAGCTTAGGATTTTGAATGATTTTATTTTAATTTTGTATTATTGGGTAGTAGTAGTAGTAGATGAAGAATGTTGAGAAAGTAGTTGAAGAATGAGATTGATGATTTACTTTAGGATTGTAAATGATTTTACTTTAATTGTATTGTTGGGTAGTAGATTAATTTTGAATGATTTTAAGATTTTGAATGATTTTAGGATTTTATAATTTGTTTGTGTTAGGAATTGATTTTGAATGATTTGTAAGTTTTAATGATTTAATTATTAATGTTGAAGCATTTTAGAAAATTGGAAGAAAATTATCTAAAATAAATATTTACAAAATAAGAAAAAAAAATTCAAAAACTAATTTTTAAAGGGAAAAATTCAAACCGCAAACCGTCCGCACATCCGCAAACCTTATCCGCACAAACTGCAAACCGCAGTGCAGGCGGTTGCGGTTTGACTTTTTTCCAAAACCGCAGAGGTGCGGGCGAATCAAAACCAAACCGCAAACAGCACAAACCGATCTGCAAACACCCCTAATAATAGTTAGCTATAGATGGTACATTTATATAATAGTGGTAGTAGATATTATTATTTTAGTAAAATATTGACTTTTTTTTAGTATGTTAATATATATTGTATAATCAAAATTTTAATTGTAATTTTAGTCTTATACGCAAATATGAATTTATAAATTTTTTAGCTCGTTAAAGCTCGCGAACAGGCTCAAACTTGAGTCAAGCCGAAGCCAACTCAGCCCGAGTTTGGTTCGTAAAATTTTTATTGAGTTCAAACTCGATTTTGAGTTCATTAAAATCTTAATAAATAAGTCCAAACATATTAAAATTTAGCTCTGCTCGGCTCGTTTATAGCTCTATCCACACTTGGTTTTTAATTTTTTGAGGAGAGAAATTATAATTTAGAGTTGGTTTGGGATGTCCTAAAAAAGTGCACTTTTTAACTTATTGGTGGGTTTGGGTTGGGTTTGGGTTGGGTTTGATGTGATGTGTTAGAGAGGTGATGTGATTTAAATAAGATGATGTGACTTAAATAAGATAGTGACTTTTTGACTTTTTGACTTATTTAGTACATGCCAAACTAGCCCTTAGTGGCGCTTGCACAAAATAATTACAAATTTATAAAAAAAAATAAGATTTTAATTATTTATGTTTGTAAAATTTAGTCTTCCTTTAAATAAGGTAGCAATTAAGAGTAAGTTTACATGTATAGAAACTAAACACAGAATAAGACATAACATCTTTTGTGAGAGCGTTTTTTTTAAAAAAAAATACTAAGTTCCCTTTTGGGAATATGTTATTTTAGTAATTTTTTAATTTTTTTGTTAAAATATGAGATAAAAAAATTTAATTGTTTGGAATAAACTTTTTATAAAAAAGGTGAAAAAAATAAGATAAATAATAAGCAGTGAGTAAATTGACCGAAATGGCCTTCTCAGTATAGCCGTGCATAGTACCTGTGGAGCGTCAGACTTGATGGGCTTCTGCAAGATATGTCACAACGGTCAAATAGTATTATTTTAAATTTCCTTTGGAGAGTAGACTTGGACTGTAATACAGCATTTAAATATGAAAAATGCTTGGGAACACTGATTAGTGTTCCCACTAATTAGGTGGTAGTGGGTCTCGCTATTAATGATGTAATATTTTGATCTTGGAGTTGTATTTTTTATTTTATTTTATTTTTTTAATGTATTAGTGGTATTAGTGGTGATGTTTTTAGTGGGATGAATCATTGTTGTTTAAATATATTTGTGTGATGTAATATTATTGAAATAATATTAATACAATGTATTTAAAAATGAACCTATCATGTCACAACGGTCAAATTGTATTTCCTTTGGAGAACTGTAAATAGCACATATTTAAAAAGAAAAATGATCCGGACCCTCTCTAGGTGACCACTACTGGCTTGTGATTGGCTAGATTTTTTTTATTTTTTTTATTTTCTCCTCCAATCACCAATCTCCACGTGTGTGTGGGTGTGGTGGGGATTGGTGATTGAGGGAGTCTCAATCATTTCTGATTTAAAAATTGTAAACAATATATTTGTGTGATATAATATTATGTGAATAATATTTAAATAATATACTTAAATTTTTTGAAAAAATAGTCATATGGATTGTACTTTGTGTGATGTAATAATATTTTTTTATGAAACAGCACATTTTATGTTAAAAATCAAAAAAAATTTTAAAATTTTAAAATCCAACAAACTATATAGAGAAGTCCTGTAATTCTCTTTTGATTTATTTTTTTTAGATCTTTTCAAAAAAAATTACAGCCAGGGCAGCGAGGCATACCAAATTTTTTTACTTTATAATTTAGTCCAAAAATAAAAAATTTAGTGAAATAGAATATTTCCAAACGACTAGTCATATGGATTGTAATTAATAGTACAAAAATTCTGATAAAATAGTAAAATAATTTTTACAAGTCTTTATTTCAAAGTCATGAACAAATCATAACCAAACTTTGTACAAAACTCGAGTATTTAATTGATTTTTTTGGGGGAAATTTTTGTTTCAGAAAATCATAACTAACCTGAAATTTATGAGTTGATGAAATTTTTTCCGGGAAAAAAAAATTATCATAATTGATATATATATATATATATATATATTTTTAATGAACTTAATGGAGGGCAAAACTGGAGATACTGTCATACGTTTTACATTAATTTTTGCAAAAGGGAGTAGGACAAAAAAAACACTCCATGAGAAGTAATATTTTCGATTTGCGGGAGTACCAAATTCAATATGCTTTAAACTGTGTAATATAGTTGGTGTGTTGTGAAATTTTGTGTCATATTTTGTGACAAAGATTAGAGTGTACAGTGACATACATGCTCGTAGATAATTGGTAAGCAATATACACAAACAGTCGTCTCCAATTAATTTGAATACAACACAGTGATGACATGCATCACATAACATGTCCATCTAACGAGCATTTTGCCAAATTACAACTAACTCCACTCTGATACGCGCCCGCAACTGCGCCATTTCAATGTCATCATCTCCAGGTATCATTGCATTGTCAAGGGCAGCCAAATCGTCCCGGTCAGGCATGTCCGCGTATCTGTACCCGGCCACACTGTTGACAGTAACAACAATCTCGTCGTCCACACTATTTCTGCGTATGAAATTATGTAAAGCCATGGACACTGCAACTAATGGCACCTGCACTTTACGAAAATCAAACCGAGGCATGTCTTTAAGAAATCTCCACACTACTACAAATACAGATAAAGATAAAGATCACACTTTTTTTTTGTGTGATGTATGTTTTTTAATCACGCCTTTTAAGTTTTATTAAAGTGTGGTCTTTGGGAGTGTGATTAAAAGGGGTCATTTTTAATCACACTTTTTAAGTGTCATTAAAAAATGCTTTCATCACATCTTTTAAGTGTGATTAAAAATATTTAAATCACATATTTTAAGTGTGATTAAAAATATTTAGATCACACCTTTTAAGTGTGATTGAAAATAACTAAAAACATTTAGATCACATCTTTTAAGTGTGATTGAAAACATTTAGATTACATCTTTAAAGTGTGATTAATAACTAATAAAACCTGTGATAAAAAAAAAAAATTCGACATATTTGAAGAATAATCAATATTATTTTTGTACGAGCATTTGAAGAATGTAATACACACTATATACTATATTTTGAATCACAACCTTATATTGAATGGAATAACATCATATATTTCATAAATGAAAGTTAAATGTTCAAAAGTGTATACAAAGGAATTAATAAAAAAGTTTTTAACTGTGATTACATATATTAAAAAATGAAAAAAAAAACTTGAAAAAAACTAAGTTCTTGAATTCTTTGACCATATTTTGCATTTCTCCAGGAAATTTCTGACTTGAAAAATAAAAACACAAATTAATTTAGAAACCGCTAGAAACATATGAATAGACTTACTATTTTTGTAGAGACTGTTCTTGTCTTACAAAAGACAAAATCGGACAATTTCTCATCACACTGACTCTTCATCCCCTGCATCAATAGAAAAGGAATAACGACTTTGATTGTTACTAGTATAAAATATTTGTATTACCATATACAAATATGACATATACATAGAATCAATAAATCCAAAATGAAAATCTTCAATGTATGACCAGATATTTTAAAGTCATAAAACCAAATATAAATAGAATCAACAAATCCAAAATTATAAACCAAACGTAAAAAAGAGTTCCCCCCCTCCTCTTCATTTCTTACCAAATCACTCTAAACACAGTGTAATTTTCTGAATTCATCTTCTCAAATATAAATAGAATCAACAAATCCAAAATTATAAACCAAACGTAAAAAAGAGTTCCCCCCCTCCTCTTCATTTCTTACCAAATCACTCTAAACACAGTGTAATTTTCTGAATTCATCTTCTGGCAAACAAGAACTCAACTTAACTCGACTCCATTGATTCATAATCCAATTAATTTGAAATTAAAAATAAATAAATAAAAGAAAAAAAAACTGCATAATTGGTTCACTCTCTAATTATGAAATAACAAAAGAGAGCAAGTTACTGGATTTGGATTTATCAATATTATCCTCACTCTTTATATGAAGACTGGTTTTCTTGTAGCCTATGGAGTATGATTGAACAGTATATATAAACACATATTAGTAAATCATAGCCTTGAAAAGATTTTATCAAAAAATTATTATGGCAACACATCAACAGAGAGAGTAAACTAAACTAAATCCCAACAAAAATTAAAACTCAGATCAAGGTAGAGAAAGAAAAACAATTAATATACCAAGTCAAGATGGGTCAACTCTAAAAGAACAAATAAATGAACAATCCCCACAGTTCCACTATTTGAGTGTTGAGCAATTCCACCAAGATTTACCTAACTTGTCTGATAGAGGAGTATGCTCCACCCCTATTGAGTATTATTATATGCAAAAGTTGGCAAGAGTTTTTTTAGTATTACAAAAATGTGAAAACATAAGGATTGAATAGAAAATCATAACTATAGACTTCAAAAATATAATCAAAAGAAGTTAAAATAAACAGATTTTTTTTATATTGACTATAAAAAAATTCATTTATTAAATTATGTAAATTAAATATTAACATAATCCGTTTATTTGTTTATATTATCATATCATATCATAATAAATTCACATAAAAAAAATAATTAATTATAACCTACTAATTCTCCCTTACTTGAATAAATAGTTATGTATCATTCATTGCATTGCTATTTGTATGGAGGAGGGTTACAGCTTACCATTGGGGCAGAAACAGGTGAGCTACACTGCACAACCAACCAACCAGAATTAAGGTTGATTTGGGATGTTCTAAAAAAGTGTACTTTTTGACTTATTGGCTTATATGGGTTGGGTTTGGTGTGATGTGTTAGAGAGGTGATGTGATTTTAAATAAGATAATGTGACTTAAATAGGATAATGACTTTTTGACTTTTTGTATTATTTAGGTCATGCCAAACTTGGCCTTAGAAAAAAATAAAAATAAATAAAAGTACACTTAAATCACCAACTAATGACAAAATAAATGCAAATTGACTTTTCCTAATTAATTAAGGTTTAAGACACTCACACTGTCCCCGCCTCAATGTCCCAAACCCTAATTCCACACCCACCATCCCATCTCCCAATCTTTTAGGGTTTAAGGATTTTTTTTCTTGACCCATCTCCACTTTAACCTCACAAACTTGTATTATTTGGCTTAACCCACCACCATTATCAACCTTCACACTTTGTCTTCTACTCTCAATAGCTTCAATGGGATGATAATTTGGTACCACAAAAGGAACCTTTGATAACAAAGCACCAAGACTATTCAACGCTCTATTAAAAATCCATAACCAAACAAATTTTTTGTAGTAGAGGAGAGGGAGCGGCAGTAGTGGTGAAGGTGGTGAAAGAGAGGTGGTGGTGGTTGTGGTGGTGCTCCGCCGCCTGAAGTGGTGGTGGTGTTGTAGCCTAGGTTGAGGGATTTGAGAGGTGGCTCCTCTTCCTATTTGCCGCCGTAGAGTAATCTCTTTGTTCCGGTTAAGTGGTGGCACTTGTCATCATGGGATTCAAATGCAGCGTGGTTGTTGATGGGTTTGAATGTGTATGGATGTTAAATGGGTTGGAATTGGTATGGTCTCTGAATGGCATAGATGCCTGGTATGCGCTGTATGTAGCTGAATTTCCTCTGTATGCTTATCACCAGATTGAGATCTTCAATAATCTAAAGGAACCAAAAAAACCTATCAATCTATATATATATTTTGTAAAGAGGAACCTCACTAAAGTAGGTAGAAGAACTGGTTTTAAATATCGGTTCATACATATCAAGTTTTGGTCATTCTAATACCGATAATAACACCAGGTATATTGTTTAGAATGAGAATTATATGCCTATCAGTGAGTTCCCGATGTGTATTTGGATCATGTCTGATTCAGAACTGATAAAAAACTCTCTTTTACTTTTAATGATTTTAAAAAGTTCATGATCATGACACTTAATTTTTAATATGTATCATTATTGATACGTTGTTTCCTTATATTTCTAATTACAGACATGGGCAGAAGACACTAGCGAGAGAATCAAACTCAAGACGTCTAAGTTCACCACTTGCTTAACCGCTTCCGGGTTAAACACATAATTGTCAAAAAAAAGATTTTGCAGAATATGAACATACAAACACAAATGCAAGTATGCTATATATAGAAAGAGACCTTATCAAATGAGTGGAATTGAATTATGCCTTCTCTAATCGAAATGAGGGCTATTGTCTGTAAAACAGAGGGGAAAAAAAGTTAAGTTTTTACTGTGAAATGAAGCTGAGGAATTCTGAGAAAAGATTTGTAACCTGAATTCCAGAATGGAACTGAAATTGCCACGCCCTTGGTTGCTGTTCATGTGATAAAGAAATCAAGGAATCAAGACAGAGAGAGAGAGAGAGAGAGATTTTCTTCTGAAAAAGTATGAAATTCTCTTACTGGGTCAATTGACACATTCCATGAGGTGATGAAGCTAGAATCATTCTCAGATGGGTTATCTTTAAACACCCATTTGTGACTATTATCTGCTGCAACTTTCCTTGACCTACCATTCTGCACACACAAAATTTACACTCATCAAAAACAAAAACAAAAGCAAAAACAAAAACAAAAAACAAAAAAGCAATCAGAATTACCCTTCACCATAACTGTACACCTCATGGGACGTTTTAAAGAACACATCAGCTCCAAACCTTCCCTTTACGTTTCCAGCTCTTTTGCATTCGTAAAAATCACAAAACCCATCTTCCCAAACAAGAATCCCGAAGCAAAAACCCAACTCAGAACTCAAAATGACCCAAATTGAACTCAAAATCCAATTGGGTTTGTCATAATTCTTATAAATTCCTTTTGTTGCCCTTGGCGCGATCAAGTGCGCCACCTCCATAGTCCCACCTGAAACAAAGCAATGTGATAAGAGTCATAACAAGACATGATCTTGGAGGAACTCAGGCTTCATTTTTTGATTGAACTCAGATAAAACAATGTCTGGTTTTGGGGGGAATTCAAATGTTGGACTGTTTTAGTTTTGTATTTGTTTACTTTGGAGGAGGGTAGTTCCTAGGCAAGATCCTCCAGAAGACTGAGTAAACCCACTTTGTGGAAGTGGAAGAATCTGAGGAAGTACATAGATTTCTGAGGGTGTGCTGTAACAGATAGTTGATGAGCATGGGGAGTCCACCTTCCATTGTCTAGAGAGAGAGAGAGAGGGAGAGAGAGGCTAGACTAGCAAGTTGTAATCACAATTAAATAGAAAAGAGCAAAACAAGAACAATGTCACGAGATTTGAGTAGGAGAAAATGTAATCACACCTCCTTTTATGAACTTAAAATTTAGCCATTTTATCTAGATTTGAGCAACTAAAGCAGATTGCATAATTGGATTTATTGAATTTTTTACAATTAATTGTTCAGTTTTGGTCACAGGATGCCTCAATTGCAAGATAGACATTTGCTCATTTATTGTACAATCCCACTTTGAATAACAAACCTAAAGAAAGAACTAAAACTAACAATCTCAAACCCTTAAAGTGGAGCATTAAAGAAATGTTTGCAAAGGTACCGCCGATGTAGAAAATCCTTCCTTATCTCTCTCTCTCTAAAAGATTTGCCAGCAGATCCACCACTTGCAGCTTCCTCAACCAAATTATCACTACACACCAAGTAAACAAAAAAATTAACTCAACTACCATATTTCAAGCTAAAAGAGCTTCTCCTAATTTTGCGACAGGATTAACTAAGTGACCATGTAGTTGCAGTCAATTTCATTTTGCATACATCCAGAACCATCATAGTTGGCAATATCATAAAAGGAACAAGACCCATTATCGTGAGCAAGAACAGCTCACCCTCAGACACAAACCATCCTCCAGTTGAGGTCTTACGGCCTGTTAAGTTTTTATTCTTGGCAATCCCATTTGACAAAACTCCTTTCAGTTGTACTTATTTTCACACTTTTTTATTTTAGTGAGACTATGAGTGTTTAGATGTGAATCCAACCCGAATTGTGTCTTGCAGAAAAGTTTGTGATGTTAATGCTTTCAAGATTGCCATTTCGCTGATTATGATGATGATCGAGCTGCCCGGTCAGCTCACGGGAGTCCAGGGGACAGCGTCCCTTGGCGGGTCCGGGGCAGCGCCTAGGCGGGGTCGAGGGGTAGCGCCCTCGAAGCAAAATGCAAAAATGCATTCCAAGTTGCCTGTCCGCTCGAGCGGACATTCCCCCGCTCGAGCGGAGAATGCTGGGTTTCAGAAGTTTGTTCGCTTGCAAAAATACTAGATGTTGTTTTTTCCCGCTCGAGCGTAGGTCCCCTCGAGCGGCCAATCCGACGCTCGAGCAGAGATCGCGGGATAGTTTTCTATAAATACGTGTTTCAGTCCAAATCTAGGATAACTTCTCCAGATCTTCTTCTTGGGTTCTAGGGTTTATATTTGGGGATATTTTGCTAGTTTTCTTTGATGTTTCATTGAGTATTCAACTCATGGTTTAAGAAGCATACATCAAAGGTTCGTTTGTTCTTTCTATACAAAAGAGCGAGTTGTTTTTCGATGGATTCTGAAGAATTTGAGCCGGAAGTTTTGGTGGATTCTGGAGTGGCTCATCGTAAAGAAAATTCCGAGGTGATGATGGGGTTGGAAGAGACATATAGGGGTTGGTTCAATTCGGGCGTGAATTCGCTAGGTAATTGAGAGTATACCTGTGTAATTCCTTTATATCTTCTTAGTGGATTGTTTTGTGGCTGTTGCCCGTGGTTTTTTATCATAGTTTGAGGTGCTCCAATTGTGATTTTTTCACGTTAAAATCGTTGTGTCTATTTGTCTTGATTGTTTGATTGGGATTGTTATATACTGCTTAAAATTGATACATAATCACAAATCAACATCTAGGGGATTTCTAGATTTTTCAATTGGTATCAGAGCAGGTCGTTCTATTTTGTTTAAAAACAAAAAAAAAAATTCTTTTAGAACGAGATCTTGTTTGATTTGTGATGATGGATTCAATACGTGAGGGAAATTTTATGGTTCGACCACCCCTACTTGACGGATCCAATTATTCGTTTTGGAAAGCTCGGATGAGATCGTTTTTAAAATCTATTGATGAAAAAGTTTGGCAATCTATCATGTATGGGTGGACTAAACCAACGATTACCGTTGATGGAGTAACTTTTCCCAAACCAATTGATAAGTGAGACACAGTTGATTACCAAAATAGTAGCTGGAATAGTAAAACTATCAATTCTCTCTTTTGCGTTGTCACACCTGAAGAGTTTAGTCGAATTTGCAATTGTGAAGTGGCAAAAGAGGCTTGGGATATCTTACAAACTATTCATGAGGGTACTCCTTCTGTTAAACGCTTAAAATTTCAAAGGCTCACGTCTAGTTTCGAAAACCTTTCAATGAAAGATAGTGAGACCTTTGATGAATTTTATGCGAAATTGAGTGACATTGTAAATTCCAGCTTCAATTTAGGTGAAAAAATACCAGAATCCAAAGTTGTGGGAAAAAATTTGAGATCCTTGCCCGATCGGTTCTAACCAAAAGTTACGGCTATTGAGGAGGCTCAAGATGTTGACAACCTCAAGCCGGATCACTTGGTTGGAAATCTCCAAACTTATGAGGCACATAGAAATTTTAAAAAGAAACAAAAAGATGCTATTGCTTTTTGTAGTGGTCATAGAGTTGGAGAGGGTTCTGATGAGGATTGTGAGATAGATTCCAAGATTACGGCTGCTTTTGTTAAACAATTTAAAAAATCTTTTTTGAAAAAGAATCTTAATCTTTTCGAATCTACTCATACTCATAAATCCAAAGGCAAAGATAAACTCAAAATTAATTCTATAGCCAAGAAAGAGAAAGGAAAGATACAAGGGAACTCTAAAAGAGTCCAATGCTATGAATGCCAAGGATTTGGCCACTTTGTTTCAGCATGCCCTACTCGTTTGAGGAAGAAGAAAGCCCTCGCTATCATTTGGATGATGAATCAGAATTTGATGAAGATGAAAGTGACAATGAAGATCAAGGTGAAGAGGGACATAAACAATTTCTTGCTTTCATGGCGGCTTCCGAAACTGAAGGACGAATAGAGTATCCGAAGAGGTCGGTTGAGAATGCCACTGATGATGAATCCTCGGAGAGTGATGATGAAGAGCTTGAGCAAGCTTATGAAAAGTTGTATAAGGAATCTCTTAAGTTATCCAAATTGAATGACAAACTCACTATGAAACTCACAGCATGTGAAAGTGAGAATGTCAAACTAAAGGAGGAGATTTTCGAGGCTAGGATTGATGCCATCAAGATAGCTAATGATCGACAAGCACTTTGTGCAAAACTCTTGACTTGTGAGACAGAGAGGAACGAGCTACAACAAATCTACGCAACATATTAAGAAAAAATTGAAACTCTCGAGATGTCTCAAGTTGCTTTGGAAGAACTAATGATCAAGAAAGAGGAAGAACTCAAGTGTGCTATGGCTACCATTGGTCTTTGGAACAGAGGATCAAAGACTTTGGAAA